ATCCTTAACAATTTCTGTGGGATTGTGGCCTATGGTGATGTTTATGTTACTTAAATTCATCTTGTCTCTTCTCATTGAACCATATCATAAGACTTAAACTATATTTATGTTAGCCAAAAGGGAATGTTTCACCCCTAAAAGTAGAAATCAATTCAACTCTATACTTTACCTTATATATTAGAGAAGAATAAATCTTGGTGACCTTTTTATTTAATATCAAGGCATTTTTATTGTTGTTTGCAAGTTTTGAAAGTAGTGTGTACAAATCAACTGAATACTACTTATGAGTATTCTTGTGTGATAGAAAAACAGCAAACAGCACTTCTGTGAAGTGCTGACATTCAAGATTCATTGTCAAATATACTATCAGGTACATTACATTATATATAGATATCCCAAAATACTACACTGATTTCCCACGTAGGAGTGTATGTTTTCATTCTGTCCTTTGGGGCTCAATCCCTTGCCTATATTTGATTCAGGGCTGATAGGAGCTGTATTTAAAGTTCCCTCTGACCATTCTATTATGTGGATTAATCGGCCTTTTGATAAAGTTATCTCTGTATTGGAGGCATTTTTGGTCCTTAATAAATTCTTACTGTTCCATCATCCTAACTTACAGGACCTTGTAATGCTTTGCTATGTCATGTCTACTGTTCATTATGTAGAAAACAAATTTATTTACTGCTTTTACTTTTTACCTTCAGCAAGACTGAGCCTACTTTAGAGTACCATACCAAAATAATTGTGTGTAAAATGTGATTAGAATGATTGATTGAATTGCAGTACATCTTAAGTAACTGAAAAATAGGGTTCAAAATACAGTTCTCTTAACAATTCCTTCTTCATTTTATTTGAGAACAATTAGGAACCCTTACTGTGCCAGTGGAGTTACATAGAAATTGATACTCTCAGCCGGGCGTGGTGGCGCACGCCTGTAATCCCAGCTCTCAGGAGGCTGAGGCAGGATAGCTGTGAGTGCGAGACCAGCCTGGGCTACGTAGTGAGTTCCAGGTCGGTTTCAACTACATAGTGAGACCCTGACTCAAAAAAACAAAACAAAACAAAAAAGAAAAAGATACTCTCAATCCCCATGTAAAAATATAGTCACAAGGGCTTGGGGTATAGCTTGGTGCTTGCCTAGTATGTGTGAGATATTGGATTCGATCCCCAGCACCACACACAAAAAAAGGAGAGTTCAGTCACACCTTTATTTACTTATAGTGGGGGAGGGAGGGATGAGGTGAGAAATGCGAAGAAGGAAATAGCAACACGTCTAATTACATGGGAGTAATATTTTCAGCTCTTTCTTTTCCAGGATGGGGAGGGTAATGGGAAACAGTGCTGGAAGCTGTGGTGGGGGTCCCAAAACTATTCTCAGATTCAGTGATTTGTTAGAACAATTCATAGGACCAGAAAAGCTGGCCCTTGGTTATGGCTTTTTACAGCAGATTAAATTCGACCAAAAAAGGGGCCAGAAGAACCCAAGTACACGATTCTGTTTGCTCTTTTGAAGTAGAGTTGCACAAGGATGCACTTAATCCTCCCATCATGATATGAGGCATTGCCAAATGCAGAAGTTTATCTGAGCCTTGGTGTCCAGGATTTTTTTTTTTTTTTTTTTTTTTTTTGTACTGGGGATCAAACTCAGGACTCTGTGTTTGCAAGGCAGGTGCCAGTACCACCGGCTAAATCCCCAGCCCAATGTCCAGGAGTTTTTGTTTTTGTTTTTTTGTTTGTTTGTTTGTTTTGTTTTTGGTACGTGGGATTGAACTCAGGCCCTTGAGCTTGCAGGGCAGGCACCAGAACCACTGAGCTAAATCCTCATCCCTCCAGGAGATTTATTGGGAGTCAGTCATGTGAAACTGGAGCACTCATATGTCTGAACTTAGTTATAATCTCTACCCTTCCCGTGTCTTTGCTTTCTACCAGAGGTCAAACTACTACCGTGTAGATCAGGAACCCATGTGAACAAAACTAGGCATTCTCTACCATGCATATTGTTAAATTTAACTTTCTGATGTCCCCAAAGACTTCAGGTATACAAAAGCTATTCTTATCAGTCAGGGTATTCCAAGAACTCAGAAGTTGTCTCCTAAAAGTCCACTGAGGGCCAATCTTTTCTTTGGAATGTGCAGGATCTGAGCATCTAAAGTCTAACCATTCACCATCGTTAACCATTTGGTGAACAAAAATTTGGGAATCTCAGGATTAAGAAGTTTTGGAGGAAATGGCTAGGGAATGTGTTCAGTGGATGCAAGCAGAGACTTGCTTAGAAGTACAGGAGAAAAATAGCCTAAAAACATGGCGTATTCTACACTGGAGGGTGTCCATGTATAGATAATTGCAAGAGTTTATCTAAACTAATTTGAATTCATAGGTGTTTATTTTTGTTCAGTCTATGTGTAGCTAAAATTTTGTATGATTCACATTAAGTGAATGTGAACTAGGCTATTTTCCGTGTGCTTGTGGGTAGGATATTTTTAAAGGCTATTTGTTTTTCTTTGCTGTGAGCTTCTTAGCTTTTCTGTAGCACTCTTATTCCTACTGTTTACCAAGGAAGGTTGGTGAATCCTTGGACACTTGATCATAACAGCACCAGATGTTATGTAGTCACCTGTGACTACTTTGTGATCTCTTTTTCTAAGAGGTTTTGCACACTTGCCAATATTTTTGTTGCTCAGGAAAGTTGTTTAACTAAAAGTGGTAGTCAGATTTACATTCTCAGTTGAAAAGATGTATCCAAGGAGCTTTGTAGCATTCATTCATAAAATGAAAGTTGAACGTGTTTTTCAGAGTAGAAGAATAGTTCCAAATCATAGTAGTACAGGACTACAGAATCTTCTTAATTAATAACAGGACAATTTTACGTGGAAATCAAATGCTGGTAGGGTAGCTTGTTCTGAATTAATAAAAGAAGACCATAGAATGAAGGTCTGTTAAGGCTTGTTTCTATTCTCATTCATTTGCTTATGCTTTTCTTTTACTCTAGGTAATAGAACATCTGCTCAGAGTAGAAGTACCATTGTGAGCTTGGGCTCTGTTGTCTCTGCTTCCACAGCTATTGAATAATCTTGTGTGTAAATGGAAATGCCACCTTAAGATTGAACCTTAGTATTTCTTGCCCAGCTCTCTATCCCATTTGTGCTATTTTTCGTAACATCTCTGACACACAACTGATTTTGATGTGGATCTTTTCATTCAGATCATGCTGAAAGCTCATTGTATTATGTTAAAGAATCTAAATCTAAAATAAATGAAATGTAGCTGGGCATGGTGGCAAATGCCTGTAATCCCAGCACTCAGGAGGCAGGAGGATTGCTGTGAGTTTGAGACCAGCCTGGGCTACATAGTGAGTTCCAGGTCAGTCTCAATAGTGAGACCCTGTCTCAAAAATAAATAAATAAATGAATAAATAAATAAATAAATAAATAAATGAAATTTTCATTTGAATAGTGGAATGGTTTTTTTCTTACTTTTTGATCTGCTTTTATTTGCATAGTTTTAGCCATGTAGGTACTATGTAAGTAGAGCAGTTTTGGCATCTCAGCTGAATTTACATTTATATGTTTATACAGTGAACCCACAGAAAAAAACCTGGTGTTCATGGTTAAAAATAATAAAACTGAACCAACCTTTATACCTTCTTTCTGACACTTCTCATTAGTCAAATGTTTGGAACTTTCAGGATTCACTTTGATTTTTCAAAAACTTTTTAATAATTTATAATTTTTCATTTTAATGGTCCTCTCTAATTTTTCAAATGCTTTCATATTATTTTCATCTTTAGGCCCATAATCTAAGCCATTGCTGAAATTACATTCTTGTCTATTTGGAGTATATAGAATAAACTTTTTAATACTGTATACAGTCCCCAATAGTTTTCTTTCTTACTATCAGTAACACCTCTCCTATTTAGACTATCTTGTAGAATCTCTGGTGAGGCTTCTAGTCCACTAGACTATCTACAATCAAGGACCAGGTTTGTGATTCACAGAAAGATTAAAAGGTGGTGGCAGTAAAATCTAAACTTCACTCTGAATTGAATAGACATATAATCAAGGTAGGTCAGCAAAAACAATTTGCAGATAAGCCCTTCTAAGATTTCATATGCTTGAAAGTGTCTGGCAGAAGATACAAACAGAGCCAATCTATCTTATTACTCTTATCAGTTGTGTAATGTACTGCATGATGTTTACATGCCTGCTATATTTGTTATCTGTCTTTCCCCATAGGATGTAATTTCTATGCAGATAGAGATTTTTGAATCTTTTTTATTCACTGATGTCTTCCCAGGATGTGGCATAGTCTTGGTGCTTGGCAAGCACTCAGTGAATATTTGTTAAGTGACAGAATTAATGAGCTATCCTTGAATGCATTCTACCTATATCTAGATGCTCGTTCTGGGTTGTTTGTTTGTTTGTTTGTTTTGGTACCAGAGATCAAACTTGGGTCCTTGTGCTTGCGAGGCAGGTGCTGGAACCACTGAGCTAAATCTCCGGTCTGTTTTCTGTTTTATTTTTATGGTTCTGGCATTTAGGGCTTTGAATCTCTTTTGTTTCCCTTTTCCTTTTTACTGTGTGTTTCTTTTTCATCTAAATTCAATTTTTCCTCCAAATATATTATTATACCAAGACATCTGGTTTGAATCTTGTCTCACCACTCACTTCTTTATTTCACATCACTACCTTGTTTAAAATATGAAAAAAGGAGGGCTAGAACTTTCTGTTTCTTTACAAATACTACATATTATGGTTGCTGTGGTAAATGTGTATGTTACTTTATATGATAGTAGGTTTGGTAATCTCTTATGTCCCTTTATGTGCCTCAAAGTTAATACCACCTGGCAAAATAGTCTTCAGACTTTATAATTATTAAACACACTAATCTTTAACATTTTCTTTTTTAGGAATCTATATAAAGTACAACTCTAAGCTATTTTTAATAGTATGATAAATTTAGTATGGACACAATTTTAATATGTTATCCTCTGAATTTAGGTACAAGTTATGGAAGAGAAATTAAAAGCAGCTAACATTCAAACCAGTGAATCAGAAATGAGGTTATATAAAAAATGTCAAGATCTGGAGTCTCTCATACAGGAAAAAGATGACATCATTCAGAGGTTGGAACTGCAACTTCAAGAGCAGGTTAGGAAAAATTTAATCATCAAAGTCTTTCAAGTATGTGCACTCATTTGTGCATAATCACAAAGATTAAAAAAGAGAGAGCCTCAATTCCTAAAATTGGAAAAGGATCCTGACTTATCTAGTCAACTTACAGAGCTTCATCACATGTATTGGTGAGAGGTGCATGTAAAACAGCATTCACTTTCAGTCCAGGATGATTCCAGGCAGTGAAACGCTTTTCTGTTGTGACACTGCTTCTTAACATTCAGACTGTAGAATTCAAATGTAGCCTTTAAGTTGGAAACATTCAGTTGACCAGCAGACATTAATGTCTGTAAAATTTTGCAACCAAATCTTTGCTTCATATTGGAAATGTTTATAGGACATTTATATCTGACATAAACGTTTCTGCTTATAAGTGTATTCATTGTTTTATGCTGCTTTATTGAAATCCAGTAGAATATTTAATTTTAAATTTTATTACAAAAATTGCATTATGCTTATTTACTTAAGTAGTTAACATCATTTCAATATGAGCACTCTGAAATTTTGCTAGATATACTTTGTTGTTTTCAACATTAAAAAAAAAGTCCCTGTGGATTAGTGTTTGTTTACATCAGTGGTTTTCTGCTTTCTGCCACTTCCAGCCCCTACCCATTATAATTTTTATGTTAGTCACATTCTCAGTCATTTGTGACCATAACCAGATTTCAAGGTTGGTAAATGGAGCTGGAGTTTCTCAATGTTGATTTTTCCTGGATTTTTAAAAACTACTGTTTAGGAGAGAAACTAGCCATATTCCAAGCAATTCTTATTCTTCTCTCCCTAATCTGGTTGACCCTATCCTGTTTCAGAAATGGTTTATTGATGATATAGCCATTGATTTGATTTCAGTGTATGATTGTTGAGGTGCGGGGAGAGAAGCGGTTGACAAACTAGCGATACTTGCATATGCCTTTTTGGGTTCTTATTGTATTTGCTTTAATAGAATGTAAATTTCTAGATCATTGACACATTTGAATAAACAAACTGCTAATGTTATTTCAGAAACAAATAAGAATACAGGAAGCTAAAATAATAGAAGAGAAAGCAGCTAAGATCAAAGAATGGATAACTATAAAATTGAATGAGGTATTTATTGTTATATATTTCCCTTTTCTATATCTTTTATTTCTTTTGACTAGACAAGTCATCAGAATATACAATAATGCTGAGAGAAATCAAAAATTCTTCTTGGTTTGTGGTGCAGCTCTCTTTTAGCTTATTTTTTGTTTGTTTGTTTGATTTTTGTAGTACCAGGGATCGAACTCGGGTCCCTGCACTTGCGAGGCAGGCTGCAGAACCACTGAGCTGAATCCCCAGCCCTATTGATGCTGTCTTTTAGTAAACTTGGGATAGGTAGCTTTTGTTTTAATATCCATTGTATTTCTAAAAAACCTTGACAGACTCATGATGGTCAGTGTAAATAGCCTCATTCTAATTAGTTAATATTAGTTCTAATTAGTTAATTTCAAATAATTAGAGCATACCTGTATATTTCATAAAATTAATGTGCTCAGTATTTAAAAAGCAAGGATTAAATGCTGAAATACTGTGATTTAAAATATTTTCACAGTGAAAAAAGCATGAGGTGAAAACATTTTAAAATCCTAGTTCTGGAAAAATAAGTATTAATGCCATGATTATTTAGGTTCATAGCATATGCTGATAAATTCATCTATTTTCTTGTAATTTTAAAAATTTTACTTGCATATAGAATAATGACACATTAACATTTTGTAACAATTATCATTTGTTAGTACATTTTAGAATAGTATCCCTATATAAAAGAATATCACTGTGTTCTTTTAGCTAGAATTGGAAAATCAGAGTCTTCGTTTGATCAACCAAAAGCAAACTGAAGAGATAAGAACAATACAGTCAAAATTACAAGGTACAAATTTTGCATTTAAGATAACTTAGCTGGATTTATTTGGCTGTGTAGGATTTTACAATTTGTTTTTGGTGTTTTAAAGACTTAATTATGAAAATCGTATAAGAAATTATTGCCACCAAATAAAAGAGAACAATTAATAAATCAGAATCCTACATCCAAGTGAATATTGGGCCTGAAAGAGGAAGACAAAAGGAGGTAGGACTGATGATGTAGAGTTTTAACGAAGTAGCCATTACTCAAATCAGAAAAACATGACCAGATATTTATTTGGCCTCTTTCCATTCTAAAAGACATTCCATTTGCCCCATTTTTTTAGAACCATACTAAGTCCCAAAGCCAAAAATTTTTTTTTTTTTTTTGTACCTGGGATCGAACTCCAGTCGTTGCACTTGCAAGGCAGGCACCAGAACCACTGAGCTAAATCCCTGGCCCTTTCAAAGCCAAATTTTTAAAAAATACTGTATAGTGCTGTTTAGCCCAGGTGAGGGATCATGGGCAATTGGTACCAATCTCTATTTGTGATGCCATTTTGATCTTTTCCTGCAACATAGTGCTACTTCTTCCTTTTTTACTCAAAAAATACAGAGGGCCTTATCAAACCAGATAGTAGGTTTAGAAGTCTTTGAAGTATGTATATCAAAAGTCTAAAGAGGTTTGAACTTTGGCCACAGAAAGAAAATAGACCTGTTAGGTGGGGACCAGGGAATCATGCATGTGGTACAGTTATAGCTGCATTGAGGACTTTGGAGAAAGCTCCTTGACTTCACATACTCTGACCACATCACTGAAGTTGGCATTCTCTGAGGGCAACTGTGGAGCACTTCTATGTGTTACAGTGAACCAGTGATTTATGAACTCAATTTGTTCACAAGGGCTGGTTATAACTTAAATTTGGTTGTAAGTCAATACTATTTTTCCCATAAGAAATAATGGAAATACCCATAATGCATTCCAAAGCTCCCAAAGTACCCCATAAATAACCTCTTCATAATAAAAAGGTTGTATAATGTGTGTAATTTACCAGAAACACCAATAATTTTCCTAGTGTATTTACCAAACAAACATGTGAATAGTTTATAAAATGTGCCTAGTTTACCAGAAACAACAATTCTCATACTGCACTCACCATTCAAGTTGACATCTTTGGCTTCCAGGAAGGGAAGATGAAATTATTGTTTGAAAGGAGAGTCCTCTTCCATAAGAACATCGGGAATCTGGTTCTCTGGTGTCCTTTCTCTCCTTGGTAGTCTGAAGCCCAGTAGGACCTACTTCTGGCTCATTAGGTCTCAACCTTTTCAGAACTAAAAACTTGACTAAGGTTGTCTGTTTCTGTCTTTACTTCAAAACTGTTCTGTAGTATGATGTGACATTGTCATTAAGCAAGATAATGCAACAGTTGGCTCTTTTTCTGTCTGGGTGGTCTTCTCTACAATTGTTTTTAGCTCTGTCCATTTTTTCAGAATTTTCTTTATTTCAGAAGAAGAACTTTGCTGCACTGATTGTTGATACTCCCCCTCTTCTTCAGAAAGCTCCTTAGCTTCCATTCTCTGTTGCTCAGTCAGAAGTTGCTGAAGTTCCTCTGTGGGCAGTTCCTCTGAGTGTTCCTTCACCAGTTCCTCAACATCACCACTGCAAGCCTGTGGACCCTGTTATAGTAACAGTGGCCAGAGGTTCACTTGAAGGCTCAGACTTCTCTACACAGCCTTCAAAATCTCTCTCCTGTATAATTTTAGGTCATACTTTCTTCCAGGCAGATTTCAGTGTCTGTAGAGAGACATTGGCCCAGGATTTCTCAAATAACCCCAAACAAGAAAGGATGTTGTAATGTTCCTTCCACAACTCTTTACGGATTAAATCTGTAGCTGAGACCATCTGGAAGTGCTTCAGGAATAGTCCTCAATATATAGATTCTTAAAGTTAGCTGGCCCATAGGCTGCAGTAGAGGAGTTGTATTAGGTGGGAGGAACTTGACAGAGAGCCATAGGAATTCTTCATCCAATTCTTCTTGCAAATCTTGTGGGTGAACAGGAGCATTGTCCATGATGGAGAGCCTTGAGTGGTAAACCTTTGTCCTCTAGATATTTCTTATCGGTAGGAGAGAAAGCCTCCCTAATCCACTCAAGAAAAAGCACTCTTGTTACCCAGGCTTCTGTCTTAGATCTCCTCTTTACCACAGTCTATTCTTCATAACTTTGTATTTTCTGAACATTCTAGGGGTCTCAGAGTGATAAAATAAGGCAGGATTTGTCTTGTGGTTACCACTCACATTGGTATGTAGCAGTAAGGTTAGCCATTTGTTCACAAGGTTGTGGCCTGCATTTTCTTCTCTTCCTGTGTAATGTATGTTCTCCTGGGCATTTTCTTCCATAAAAGGCCAGTTTCATCACATTTGAAAATTTGATGAAAGCAAAAGCTGTTTCTCTGTGTTATCATTTTGAAGTAGTGTATGTAATATTCAGCAGCCCTTTTATCAGCACTGGCTGCTTCACCATGCCTAGTTAAAATATGAACCCCAGGTCTTGCTTTAAAATTGTGAAGCCACCCCTTACTGTTACAAAATATTTTGCCATTATCACTTGTTGATGGATTATTCTTTACAATATCTGCATTTATAGCCCTAGCTTTTTCACAAATTATAGACTTAGATAGCTATAACCTGCAATCTCTGCCTTTTGTTTATCCAAACTAGAAATGGCCTTTCTACATTGTCTAACACTGTTGATCATGACTTAAACTAGTTTGAATAACACCTTTAGCAGCACTAGCTTCCTTATACAAATATTTTCTCTGTAAGATCATCAAAATGGATTTCGACTTGCTATACATTTTAGCAAGGTCAGTCATGAATTTCACTCTCATATTTCTCCACAATTTCCTTCTTTTTTATTGTGGTTGCTTTCTTTATTTTACCTTCCTCCCTTAGCTTCTTTTCTAGCTTTTTTGGAGCCATCTTGTAGCAGTAACCATAGTGATTATATAAAGCACTGACTGAAATCACATCCACAAGCACACACATTTGGGCTCAGACTGACACATATGCTTACATATACTTTTCTGACATCGTGACTCTTTGTTTAGAACCACACAAGTGGCTGGCATTTGGGTTATAACTCAATACTTTGGTCATAAGTTAAAACTGTATTCCATTTGTAACCCAAATTGTTCATATGTGAAGCAGGTGGTAACTTGAGGCTTCACTGTACTATGACTAAGTTGGTAGTTAGCTGTCAAATATCAGAACACAGCTCACTTATGGATCACCAATATTCTAATCCTTTTCCCATTTGGGTTTTCTGGATAAGGATTTGAATCCTGCCAAGTGGGAGTGTCCACTGATAATTCATCAATAATTCCAGAATATCAAGAGTAGGACACTTACTGCTGGGAATGGTGACACATGCCTGTATTCCGAGCATTCAGGATGATTGCTGCTAGTCTGAAGCCAGCCTGTGCTACAATAGTAAGTTCAAGGCCAACCTGAACTACATAGTGAGACCCTGTCTCTAAATAAATAAATAAAAATTAAAAGCACACTTCCACGGTTCTTTATAACTTTTGACTACCTACAAATCTTAAATCAAAAAGGCATATTTATCACTCTTATATGTGACTATTAAGTGCTTGAAATATAACTAGTGCAACTGAAGAACTAGATTTTAAATTTCACCTAACTTGAATTGATTGAAATTTAAATAGCCATATGTTGCTAGTGGCCCTATTGGACAGCAGAGTTGGCTATCAGTGAATAACCTGACAAGAGAAATACTAATTTGAATGTTTAGCTTCAGGTGTATTTGTTTTTTAAAAAATGAGTTACGTTATTTTCAACTTTTGCTTTCTATTGTGGTTTTCGACAGTGATTGAAATTCTTACAGCCTGAATATTTTGAGCATAATTTTATGATATGAATAAATTATTTACATTTTCCAATGCATTAAGATTACTTCTTTTTTAACTTCAAAGCCTAAGGATGAGTGGTATAACTCTCCTTTGATAGAGATGTTTTTAGTACATGTTCTGGTGTACATCAGGTTGAAGAGCTAAATCCAGAAGGATGTATGTATTACTCATGCTTAATGGACACATGACCCAGTATAGAGACATTTAAACTTCGTTTAACAACAGAGCCTTTACATTTTTATCTGGAGAATCTGAATAGATAAGGCAGGTGCTAAGCAGTGTTGGGTGACAGGTCCAGACTTCTGCACACTTAACTTTAATCATGCCTCTTGTTCCTTTTGGCACATTTCCATGAAGCCCTGGGATGTCACCAAATGCATTGGAAAAATACTGGTATGGTTGGAATAACATGGGCTTTGAAGTCAACTTTAATGCCTTACTACCTAATAATGGTTTATCTCCAGAACATTTTTACAGCAGTAAACTTGCGGCAATAGTACATCCTGATTTCATGCAGCAGTATATATAATTGTTGATTATAGGACATTTTGTCTACTGCATATTAATACTTACTTGCTATCACTTCCTCTACCTGTATGATGGAAAATAGATGCTCCATAGTTGATCTGGAGTTCTATATTTAGGATTAAAATTTCAGGGCTTTGTGACATTAATACTCATTAAAATAGGTTGAATGTACTATAAAAAGATTTTTATATCTTCTGGTATTCTTGGTTTGCAATTCTGGTCTTCATTGGCAGCCTCTTAGTTTTATAGAGTAAAAGGTGTTGATCCTTGGAAACTAGGTTTGGACTAGTACTTATTAGTAAATAATAAAAAAATACAGCAATCTTTTTCTGAATATTTTTAATCTGTACTTATGTTCTATTCAGTTATCAGTTGCTGCTTAACCCTTTGGTGCTCTCGAAAAGTTAAGAATTTCCTTGGAAACTTTGTTATGCTTTTGATCTTATAAGCAGCCATGTTAAGATTCCTAGACATAAATTAATGATTAGGTGCTGGCCTACCCAATTGCTCCAATAGCTATCTAAATTTTGTGCTCCTCTTTTTTTCTTAAAGAAGTGATTAAAGTTCTCTATATTGTGGTCACCAAAAACAACCCCCATTTCTGAAAACTAGGATAAACAAAAGTCATCACAGTGATCATGTGATACCCCAGTGGTGATCTAGGTTCTCTTTGGTTGTGTTAGTAACCAGTTCCTCAGGCCCCTTTTCCTCACAGTTAGTGGTGTTTTCACACTAATTTTAATCAATGCTTACTTGATATTTAGCAGTACTTGACTTTTTAAGAAGCTGTAACTCTCTGGTTATTTAAAACAGGCTTTTAATCTTGAATTTTTGTTTGAGAACTACTACTCAAAATGATTAGATGTTTTTCTCCCTAAATTCAAATATCTTTTATATTTTTTACATTAAGTTTATTGGGACATTTAAGGTAAACCATACAGTTACATTCATCACTGGGATCTTGTACCTTTACATGACGTATATTGGTTCTTATTTTTCCCCATTCCCCTGCCCTTCCTTTGCTGCATTCACCCTCAAATATATTTTAAACATTCCAAATATATGTAACAGATTTTAAGCATAGACTTATAAAGCTCAACATGGAGACTTCCATGTTACTGTATATAAAAATGAATTTCAGGTGTTTTGTTGTTTTGGTGTAGAGATTTGTTCACATGATTATATGCTTTGGTTCTATGTTTTTAAAATTTCTATAAAGGAATGAAGTATTAATTATGATTAATGACCTTGCAGAAGTTCAAGGGAAGAAGTTGTCTGCTGTTTCTACACCAAAGCTTTCAGAAGGGCAGCGCCTGAGCAGTTTGACATTTGGGTGCTTTTCATCTCGAGCAAGAAGTCCTTCTCAAATCATAAAATATGAGGAAATAAGCAAATTATCACCTAAAGAACCTGAATTCACCAAAGGAAAAGACATAGAAGGTATTTACCATATCGATTTACTTGGGCATTTTTTAAAAGGGAAAAGTCATTTGCTAAGATTAACCCAAATATAGCTTAATTTTTTTGCTAACAACTGGTTCTTAATGAGAACATATCTAAAGAGCAATATCTAGTTATTTTGAACATCATATATCTAATTCTTTTGTGTCTTCTGAGGGTTTTTGCCAGTGATGCAAGCTGCTTTTCCCATCTTAATACTTTTTCCTGCAGCAGGTGAAATAATTAATACTTTTTCCTGCAGCAGGTGAAATAGTTGAAATTTTAAAATTTACAATTCTACAATTGTGTTAGCTGAGTTTTAGATTAGAGCTATGCATTTCTATTCATTATTTTTGAGAAATTTAAAATAATCTAACATTAATCATGAAATTAATTCTTTTTAGAAAACTTATAAAGAAATTATCACTGGGGATAATTTAGTAACTGCTTTGAATTTCCCTTGGTTGCTTTAAAGAGGTAAATGTTTGCCTAGATTTAGGCCCTGGTCCTGTGTGCAGATTTCTACTATCCCCCAACTTTTTTTCCTCAGTTTTACAACTTTCTCTAAATTTTGCTCTGTTGTCAAGCTGCTGGCTTTGGCACTTGTAGTATAGTCCTTTTTTGTTGGCTTTTCCCAAATATTTTAGAGAGACTTGAGTTTAGGACTTATGTACTTTCATTTGTACTTTTTTTCCTTCAAAGGAGAAAAATTATAGCCCTAAAAGTTGTCTCTGGTTGGTTATGATATTCTGAATATGACATCAAAAAGTGCTACTCATTTTCTTGACATCACTTGCATTTTCTTTTCTTTTTCAAGAAGCCATTTTCATCTTCTCCCACTAATAGTTGAGCACAGCTAAAGTCGCTTTTACCAGAACTTTGGCTCACTTGAAAATTTAACAGACTGTCTAATAATGAAACTTTAGAGTGCATTTGTTCAGCTGCTCATTCTTAAAAAATAAAGGTCAAACTTGCTTTCAAAATTAGTTTGCTATCCTTTAAAGTTTAATTCACTGTTTATGAAAACAAGGCTGTATTCTACTGTTATAAATAGTGCTCACTTCGGCAGCACATATACTACTGTTATAAATAAAAATAAGCCATATCTGAAGACATTTTAAAAGTTATAAAACATTTTGTAGCTGTCATTAATTAAAAAGTAGGCTAGGAAAGATTTTTTTTTTCTGTTTCTGTTTTCTTAATGATTTTACATATCTTATGTGTTGATGCTTAGGCACAAAAATTTGTTTCTTATGCTATAGCTTCTATTTTATCATAATTTTGAAGTTTAGTAGAAAGAAGGTTATGTGTTTCTTTGTTTCTAAAATTGAATTAATAGGGTTGAGTAGCTGCTTTTTTTGTTTCGCTTTTTAAAATTTGTTTGTTTTTTAAGGCGGGGTCTTACCATGTAATTCAGTCTGGCCTTTAACTCACTATGTAGCCCAGGCTGGCTTGAAACTCATGGCAGTCTTTCCGCCTCAGCCTTGCAAGTGCTGAGATTACAGTGGAGCAGGACCACAACTGGTTTAGCTGCTTTTTTTTGATAGTTAGAGTTGCCCTATTTTATATTTCACTTCTTTTATTTTCATTTTATCCACTTTGTAAAAAGCATTTTTGATGCAATTATATATGGAAGAGTTGGGGCTCTGTGTTTCATATAAAGCTTATAGTGTTCAAATTTGTGTTTAAAAGATATACAACTAACAAAAGGTAATGTATAACCTTACATAAAATTGGAAGTCTTATGGTGTATTTATAAACTAAAAGATTTTATTATTAATGAAAACATGTTAAAATCATGTATCCTTTTCTAGAAGTGGAAGTTCCAGACAAGAGTGCTGCTGATAACCAAGTTCAAGAAAGTGACAGAGGCCCAAGAATATTGCATCAGGCCCCTTGCAGCTCAGAACAAAATCAGAAAACAAGAACCAGCTGTGCAACAGATAGTGGCACAACCCAGAATTCTGGGGCTCCCGTGAGTGACTGGAGTTCTGATGAGGAAGATGGGAGCAAAGAAAGACCTAAGTCCAGGTGCACATCCACGCTCTCCAGCCACACATCAGAGGAAGGTGTGCAGTGTGGCAGGCTGGGGAGCGAAGCGTATCTGACAGCATCTGATGATAGCAGCTCTATATTTGAGGAAGAAACTTCTGGCATAAAGAGGTCAGAACACAAGAAGCTGTATTGTTGGCAACAGGAGGCCCAATGGAAAGCTCAGAATAGTCTTCTTGGAAAGGGAAGTTCTGAATCAAATAAGGAGCATGACAGTTCCTCAGACGAACTGAATAAAAGATTCCAGTCCCAGAGACTGGATTATTCATCCTCATCAAGTGAGGCCAACACCCCAAGCCCTATTTTGACTCCTGCGTTAGCTCCAAAGCACCCTAACTTGCTCCCTGGAAAAGCAACATCATTGGTGCCTCCATCACACCTGCCACCCCCAAAGTTAAGGATTCCTAATGTTTTCAGTATAAGTGTAGCACTTGCCAAAAGGCACTTAAGCCAGCCACAGTTAAGTTCTGACAGGATGTTTGGTACGAACAGAAATGCTATAAGCATGATACGACCATTGAGACCTCAGGAAACAGATCTAGATCTAGTTGATGGTGACAGTGAAATTTTAGAGAATATGGACACAAGTTGTGATGATGGATTATTTTCCTATGACTCCCTGGAATCTCCATATTCAGATGACCAGGAAACCTGTGACTCAGCAGAGAAGGCAGCAAGCAGCAAACCCCCCACTCCTCCCCTGCACCGGTTTCCATCTTGGGTAATTATATTCCTGTATAGGACACAGCTGTGCTGGTCCTTTCTCAACACTCATTTTTAGGTTTTACTTCTTTCCCAACTTCTTTACAAATCCAGTTTTGTTCTCAGTTTTCAGATTCCCAAATATAATGTCCCCTTTGTGTCCCCCCACTGAGTTGTAAGTCAATTGAGAAGACAGATGGAAATCAAAATATTGCCTTACTTACTGATAAAACACTTTTATAGAATTTGTGAGCAAATGTGCTTTCCATTTTGGAACTTTGGAATAAACTAGAATTATTCCCCCAGGCCAAGGCAGGCCTGAACAATCCCAGGTTTCCTTCAGAAAGATGATGCCCCTCTAAACTTATAACTTGAAGAAACAGACAGGTATTTGTTTTCTGTGGGAAAGGAGAAGAAAGTGCTGGGCTCTGTGTGCTGAGGAGGAGGACAAAGTGAATGGGTGAAGAGAGATCAGAAGTGCTTAATTACTGTCCCTCCACAAAGAAACCTCAGCAGATGGGGTAGAAGGGTTCCCACTAACTGTGGTACTTTTGTATGATTCTGAACCAGAATACTTAATTCTTATTGTTGTTTTTTTTTTAACTTAGTCCTTCTTCTTCCTCTTCCTCTTAAGCTCCTTCTTCCTTCTTTCTTCTTCTTGTTTTTTCCCCCTCCTCATTGCACTTAGTCATTTTCTTGGTTAGGTCAAGGGAAGTTTCACTTTCTTCTGTGTTTATAGTTTTTTGTTTTGTTTTTTTTTGGTACCGGGGATCGAACTCTGGCCCTTGTGCTTGCAAGGCAGGCAGTGAAACCACTGAGCTAAATCCCCAGCCCTCTCCTGTGTTTATAAATCCATTGTTTTAACCAAAGCGTCTTCCTACAGATCTAGAATAGATAAAAACTCCTTCTATGGAAACATTAACCATCACTACAATAATTAACTCATCAAAAGTGTGGTACTTCTGAGAAGTGTCTGTATTGCTAGATTAAAAATTCCTATATTTGAGACAAAATGAATTGGTCTGGTCTGGTTTGTAGGTTTAACTTTTCCATCATATATTGTCATAATTTAACCCTTGGCCTAAAAAGAAACATCTAGATTGCAGGATTTTTGGCTTTTGGAGTCATGTTCTTTTATTACTATTTTAAAATTTAGTAACTGCTCTAATTTTAAGCAAATTAGGGAAGCCATGTTTTTCTAGTATAAATTCAGACCTTAGGTTGTATCTTCTTTTATTTGCTTTCAAGAGAAGATTTCATTTTAATAGCTCAAAAAGATGTGGCAATTAATCACATGTGAATCTTTGGAATTTCAATTATGTTACAGTTCAGGCAGTAAGTTGAAATGCTGTGTTTTTATTATGTTTAGATTTTCAAAAATTTAAGTTAGGCTTTCGAGTTTGTTTTATTTGGCAAACCATTTTACTGCATTTTTGCCTTTCTCTTCTCCTCTTCTGAAGAAATTCAGACCTGAAAAACTAGTATTGCTTTTCAAAAGCCTTCCAGCACATGGGCCAAATTTGAGGGTTTTTTTCTGTTTGTGAGTTATTTTCAGGTTCCAAGGAAAAGATGTATTTTAGTTACCTGAACTAATAAATATTTATTTTAAGGCATAAGCTATTCTCCTTGACTTGGAATGTCATTTAAAATACAATAGTGACTCTAGTGGGGCAACCTGTGAATCACCAGCACCTCTGACCATCAATTTAGAAATAAGTGACACGCATTACCCCTGCTCCAGAGGATCCGCTGTCCTGTAATTTACAATGATTCTCTTTCTACTTGCTTTCTGTATACCTACTTTCTTCCACTCTTCCATGCCTTCTAACTGCCTCACGCCTCCTTACTGCCCTACTTCTTTGGTCTTTGTGATTGGCCCACTCTGCTGTTCATCTCTGTGTGTGTATCTCACAACTATCGGCTCAGAGAAAGTGCATCTAATCCAGTCAGCTACTCTTCAATCTAAAGTGCCTCTGTGCATCAGAGATCTTATGCCAGTTCCTTCTTGGGCCACTGAATAGTCTGAAGGAGCATGGCATTGGTAGTCTGCTATGCCCTGGTCCAGCCAACTCTGCCTACATTAGACCCATTACAGAATGCAAGAGAGTGGACACTGTGATCTATGGAACCACTGGGGGTCCTTTTTCTCATGGGGCTGGGGGAGGGCTAATAGCCTTTGCAGTACCCATTGCAGAGGCCTCTTTCTGAAGAGAAAACAGAATAACCTACTTTGAAATAAGATAATATTATTAATGTCATTGCAGTTTTCCAGATCATTTATTATTTGACCCTGAGTGCTTTTCTACTTGATTGAAGTATACATTGAAATAAGAAGAGGATAGTATTAAGGGCCACTTTGTCTCTGATTTCTGACATTAACGTTTTTTCCTCAATGGTTTCCTAATGGTTTTTTCCAGAATGGTAAAATATTAAAGAAGGTATTTATTTGTATTCAGTGATCATAAATAGTTGCTGATTTTATTTATTCAGTTTTTTAACCACATTCTAAAATGATAAAAAATTAAAGATGAATCAGGCTTTATGTATCACCTTTCTTGTACTTGTTCCCTTTATCTTCAAAAGAATTAAAGATTTGGAAGCAAAGATAAATAATGGAATGACTAATAGATGGGCAAAATACCTATCGTGCTATTCACAAGGATATGTTTTATTGCCACTACAGAGTTTTATAATAATGCTATACTCTGGGAATATCAAATGAACACTTAAAAAATGTATGTACTGAAAGTAACCATTTCTTTGCTTTAAATACCCTCTTCAAATCTCTCTTTTGTACTAGGAAGGCAGAATTTATGCTGTAGCCAAATCAGGCATTCGAATGTCTGAGGCCTTCAATATGGAGAATGTTAACAAAAGTAAGTGCTTTTGCATGCTCTGACGGTAGGTGAGACCTGAGGACATTATGCTAAGTGATAGGATAAAACAAACATAGCGGAGTCCACAATGGCAAATACTGTATGATTCCACCTCACAGAGATAGCTAAGGTTGTCAAATTCATAGATCTAGGATGTAGTATGGTGGTTACCTGGGCTGGGGGAGGGAAAAAAGGGGGATTTCAGATTTGCAAGGTGAAAAAGCAGTAGAGATTTGCTTTATAACAATGTGAATAACTTAACACTACTGAATTGTACACTTTAAAATGGTTAAGATGATAAATTCTCTTTTCTGTGTTTTTCACCACAATAAAGAGGTGTTTAAAATGTTTCTGTGTTGTTTCTCTAGTCAAGAAGTCCCCAAATATCTAAATTCATTGGAATAAATCTAATTATATAAATTTCAGTGATTGATTTCTAAGGTTACTGATTTCTGTTTTAAAATTGAAATTAATCTTAGTATAGGGTAACTCATACATTTAACTCTGATACAGATAGTACTTCACTAAATTTTTACCCGAAAAAGACAAACTGTAGTATTGTAGCTGTTTAAAAATGTTAAAATAATGGTTTCTATGTCCTTTTCTCCCTTTCTACCAAAAACTATTATAGGAACTATATGTTCATTATAAAAATAAAACCTAACACAAAACTGTCTAGAATTAAGAGAAAGATTTTTCTAGTGTCCCTATCCTACAACTAATCCTTATCTCAGAGGTAACTGTTAGTGTTCTCCTCCTTTTTGGCTATCTTCTGTTCTGACCACTTAGGAAATTATATTCTAACCTTTTAACATCAGATTCTCTTGATAAAGGCTTTCAGAATCATTATGGTGCTTTAACAGCATGTCAGGAACAGGGCTGTGAATAGTTAACATCTGCATGGGTACTGCTTACTGAGTCACTCAGTTGGTAGCTTCTTTTACTTCAGTGCAGCCTCAGCTAAGTGTGCATGGAACGGCTGAAGAAATCGAAGCTATGGATCTTGCTCTCAAGGAGCTTACAACCTAATGTAAAATAATGAAACATGTAAAACACAGGTGATATATAAACCTGGAAGTGTAATGCATAAAGTAGACTGTATAATGAGTAATCACATGACTTAGTCCAATTTCTCTTTAATTGGAAATCATGCTAATTCATATTCAGAAGAAATAAGCCAGTGTGCCAGTTAAGATTCTTTTTAATGTTTTCTGTTTCAGATTCTGCTACCATGCTTTCCTATACCACATCCGGACTTTATACATCTCTGATATACAAGAATTTGACCACCCCAGTGTACACAACGTTAAAAGGGGTAACTCATCATTAGTATTAAACGTGGTTCTCTTCATCAGGCATCAGGAAAACTATTTCTTCAAGCTCCAAATTCCATTCTTAATGTTTGACCCAGCCTCTCTCCCTTTGTAGAGTGTTAACATATAATTTAAAAAAAGAAAAAGTAGAAAGGTCTTTAGAAGATATTTAGTTTTCTCAAAGCAGTAGAGTGCTGTATCCATTCTCATGTGATTCCTGCCCATCCCCTGCCCCAGGCTGTTAATTGTTGAAAGGAAACATATTAGTGATGTAATGGAAACTCCAAATTTAGAAAGGTCTTTGTATCAGTGCCAGGGTCCTCTTCCTTGCCAGCAGTACCTAATTAAAATGAATCTTGTCAGATAGTGACAGTCTTATGTTTCCAGGAATCTTTTCTAATTGACTACTGCCTTGCTAATTAGAATTTGAGGTTTGACATGAGCCTCACAATGGTAAAATATGTTCTTGTATTCCTTCCAAAAAACAACCTCTTTCTGTAAAACATTGTACATCTAAAGAGAGAAGTGACTAGAGTTGTATACAGAGAGGCTGCTCTGCTTTTCTTTAGAAAGCGACCCAAATAAGTAGCAGCCCTTTCCAGGACGACTCCTCCGGCTCAGAAGATGAGGACAGTTCCAGGTGCAGCTCACGGACGTCGGAGTCAGACCCGCGCAGCCGCAGTGGGCCTGGCAGCCCCAGGGCCCTGAAGCGAGGTGAGCACACAGTGCAAGCTCACAGGTCACCCAGGCTCGCAGAGCAATTGCATGGAGCTTTAGCTCTGTAATAGGATTTTTGGCTGTGAGGGTGATCTGGCTGCGATATCTATCTCCCCATTGATCGCCAAGGTTGACTCAGCTGATCTGGCTGGCCAAGCAGGTGTCTCCTACCTCCCTCACCGCTCCACGTGCATCCCTCCCGGAGGTGAGTGTTAGGTCGAAGAGAACAACCACCACCAATAAGGAGGACCTTTTCCTCCGTCAGAGGTATAGGAGTAGCTGCGCTTCCCCGCTACAAACTCCAAACAAGCTCTGTGAATGGGATTTTTTAAAAAAACAATCTGAAAGTACTTGCTTAAAACCATGGTGAAAGATAGCCTAGGCCTAAAATATTGTGGGTTTTTTTTTCTTAATCCTCTATAATACCAGACAGACCACACAGTCTTAAATTTTATTTTATTGCCTTATCTTGTCGATAAGCGAGAGATCACTTTAATGTGAGAATAAAGGGAGATCCTTGGCCAAAATTGAGGTTTTCTTTTTTTATAGTTGCCTTGTGGAATTTTAGGTAATTCATGAGATTTATTTCCGTTAAATGTTTGTATTGCTAACTGTCAGAAAATTCACCTAAAATGTGTTAGTTAATCTGATACTGAATAGGGAATCAGTCACAACTTCACTTGAGGCATGCCCATGGTTATTAGTGGGTTTTGAAGGAGGTTATCGAGAGGGAGAATCCCACTAAATAACACTCATATCATGGAAAGGCTATGATGTGTGTTGTGTATGTGTAGTTGTTTTCAGGCTATGTTCCACAGACTCCTTGGTATTTTCAAAACCCTCAACTTTTTTTTTTTGAAGAGCCAGATTCCCTTTATTTTTTTTTCATTGAGTTTATTAATACTTTTAAAGTATACAGTACAGTTACATTTATCACTGGGATCTTGTATGTTTACATGACAGATCTTGGTTCTCATTTTTTCCCCATACTCCTGCCCTTTCTTTACCCCGTCTGCCCTCCCCTATTTACAAAGACTTTGTTTCCATTTTTCCTTTTCTCGTATTTTTTCTTTTCCCCTTCCCTTCCCACTTCCCTTACACCTTTAGCCCTTATCTCCCTATTTCACATTATCAGTTATACAATTTGGATCTTATTTACACTTTTAGTCAAAACCTCAACTTCAACTGGAGCTGCTAAGCTTTCCTTGGCTTCTTTGGGTGGCCTTGCATTCATCTTGTTCCTCATAAATAGAATCAGGATATGTCACATTTTTGTTCGGAGTTCTGTACTGCAACGGCTCCTCACAATAGCTATAAGGCATTTCGTTATTTCTTTATGTCTTTGATCTAATCTCTTCATACTCTTCTATTATTCAGCTCTGGGGTACTGGCTTTTTTGTTGTTCTAGACACAGTAGGCACCCTTTTTGTAGCAGGACCTTTACACTGTGTTTCATCCACTTGATACTCTTCCCCCAGGTGTCTGTTTCGCTGACTCCCTCACTTCCTTGAGGACTTTGCTCAAATTCTGCTTCCTTAATGAGGTCCACCATGACCACATCATTCAAAGTGTGGTCCTCGCCCTTCTATTGCTGCCCTTTCTAGTCACTTCAGTCTTCTGTGTGTTGTATTTTCCATAGCTCATCAGTTAAATGTTTGTCATCTGTCTCTGTCTCCCTCCAGTAGAATCTCCATTTGCTGAGGGCTGAAATGTTTCTGTTCTGTGTCCTCTCTGTCCCTAGCACCTCGGACAGTGCCTGCCACACGGCCCAGGTCTGGGAGTTGAGATTTGCCTTCCAGCATTGGCTCCCTGCTGAGCTATTTTGCTTTGAGCCAATCCTTTCATCTGTGGGCCTTGGTCTCCTTACAGAATGAGGGCATTGTCCAGGATAAGCTCTGAGATCCCTAACTTCTATTGTTCCATGAAAAATAAAGATATTATCACAATTGTTACTTGTCTGAGTTACATAAGGGTAGTGTTATGAGAATAGAATTATCCAAATATGTCCTTTAAATGCTACTAAATATCAAATAATTGTTGGATGTTATAATAAATAATGACCTAAGGTCCTTGATTTTATTATTTCAAAATTTCCAATTGTAAGCATTCTCTAAATGTGTCATACAACTTACAAGTTGTTTTTTATTAAGGCAACTGAATTATTGTGAAAATGTTCAATTGAATTTTACTCTATAGCTACTGGTAAGTGAAATAGTCTTCTTATGTCTTTAAGACTTACTGCTTCTCTTTTATGAAAGATCTAAAAATCTGTAAATTAGTAGTGTGACATATGAAAATATTGAAATCATATTGTTTTTAATGTGAGGTTACTTTAAAAGTAATTACAGAAATTAAATGGTTTAAAATATAATTATGAAAATCTTTAAGGTTCAACATATTTGTTTACATATCAATATGTAAATATCTATTTTAATGTTAATAAAAGCTACATTAATAGACTATTGCATGTATTTTATATGTATAAAAATAGCTAAAGTTATAATCAAGCCAGAGTATTATTTATGTTGTTTTGACTTCAATCTTTACATGACAGTCCGTATCCCTTAGTTCTGTTTTCTGCCTTAAAAGCTCTTCATGGACCAAGAAATGAGAATAAATCTGGTCCAGGGTCATTTATGGTTTAGGAATAGTGGTATTCCGTGGAACTAACCCTAGTGGTAAAGACTGACTCACTTCTTTGTATTTCTAGGTGTGTCTTTGACCTCTGTGGCCTCTGAGAGTGACTATGCTATACCCCCTGATGCCTACTGCACAGACACAGAGTGTTCGCAGCCTGAGCAGAAGCTCCCCAAAACCTGCTCCTCAACCAGCGATAATGGAAAAAATGTAAACACTGAGTCCGATTTTTTTTTTTTTTTTTTTGGAACCGGGGATTGAATTCGGGTCCTTGCGCTTGCAAGGCAGGCCACCGTACTGCTGAGCTAAATCCCCAGCCCCTACTGAGTCTGATTTTTTAAAAATTAGTGAATCAATTAGTTTGAGCCTCTAAAAGGAAATTTTAAATTTTTTTAAAAATTAGGAACCACTGGAAAAATCTGGCTATCTACTAAAAATGAGTGGTAAAGTCAAGACTTGGAAACGGAGGTGGTTTGTTCTTAAAGGAGGTGAATTACTTTACTACAAATCTCCGGTGAGTGGAAAGTGTTTACTATTGAGAACCAAATTCCTCAAAGTATGAATCAAACTCCTGACTGATTTACTTCCTTATAATGCAATTAACTCTTCAATGCCTAGTGTTCCATTTTTGAACAGCCCTAACAACATAGTAAAAAAATTTTTTCAAATACTCCTTGAATTTTTCTAGGTAACATATGTAAATTTCATGTAAAAATTCAAAAATTACAATCTTTGGCATAAATAGGTTAATGATACAAAACATTTCTTATTATTACTATTATAGTTATTCTTTTACATTTGTTTTTCTTCCTTTCCCTCCTACAGAGTGATGTAATTAGAAAGCCCCAAGGCCATATTGAACTTAGTGCATCCTGCAGTATTTTAAGAGGAGTTAACAAACAAACAGTTCAGGTTTGTACATATGTTTTTTGTGTGTTTATTTATTTATACTTGCAGAACCCAGTCATCAATTATCCAAACTATTGGAAAGGAGATTGGATAATTCAGTGTTTCTTGATTCAATGTGGAGTCAGTCTGATATTTAAAGTTGTGTAACATTCCATGACTTTTTAGTTAAAACTATACTTTAAGATAAGCTTATGTTTGGTAACTTATACTATATTTTCTTTATGCTCTTCTTTCCACATATTTAATCTTCTAGGTGTTTTCAGTTCTCAAAATATCAGCCTATTTAAGGGAATAATTATCTGATAAATGAATCCCAAATAAGACAGTAATAGAATGTACTATCACATTCAGGAGTGTTTGTATTTCTTTAATCCTTGAACCTCAGGTGCTGTAACACCCAAGGGGGAAAGCTTCTGGTAAGTAACAGGGCCATCCTGCCAAATCACACCAGAGAGATAGCCATTGGCCGTTTGATGTACACAGCAGGCCCATCTTTCCCAAAACTTGTCAAATTAAAAATAAGATGGTTGAATAGTGTGGTATATGTTATTTAAATTCAAATACTTTACTTCTGAAATGTTTTCAATAACTGTATTTTCTCATCTTGCTCCTTTGGAGGCTGGAAGACACCACTTTTCAGAAAGGTACATTATTAGTGTTTCCAGTAGACTAAGAAATCCTCAAAGATTTAGAAGGGTGAATCAGGGAAAGCTTTGTCTTGGAGCACTGCTGTCAAGAATCATTTCTAAGGTTCGCAAGTATTTGGAAAATTTGTAATGTGGTCAAATTTGAGACTGAAAAGTTGATTTTATAATAGCTGATCATTTCTTAGTTCCAGGAATAATTTCTCTCCTTCTACTTGTGTGCATGATCTTATCATTTTGTTTATAGTACAGATGTATCTATTGGTATAGATATAAATATATATCACTCCTTTTTGGCTGCTAAATTGTACTATTATAGTCTTGTCATGCTGCCCCTCCTTTTAACCAGGAACCCTGTAGCACATTTAAAGGAGAAAATGAAAACATGATGAGTAAAGATATAAAATCATAACCCCCAAATTTAATATATAAAAACTATCAAACCAAAGTAAAACAATTATTTTAACAAAAACCTGAATTATAATTTTCAGAAAGTAATTAAAGTATTCTAAATTACTGTGGAGTCATTTACTTAGAACTTAGGATTTAAGGCTTATCATGTTTGCTTTCATGTTAAGCATTGATGTTTGAAGAATGGAGAAGTCAATGTTAATAATCCTACATCATTACATTTGCCTTTTTTATCCCATTCTAGCTGACTACTGAAAAACACACATACTATCTGACTGCAGATTCTCCCAATATATTGGAAGAATGGATTAAAGTGTTGCAGAATGTTCTTCGTGTACAAGCTGCTAACCCACTTTTCCTGCAGCCTGAGGGCAAACCAACAGTGAAGGGATTGCTCACTAAGGTAGGAAACTGTGCACAGCAGTGTCCCAGGCAACTGCGTGTATTAGACCCTGGATCCTGATAAGTGGGTGCCAGAGAATGTATGTATTTATTACATAGTCTTTCTTATTTATTTATTTTAGTGCTGGATATCGAACTCGGGACATTGCGCTTGCAAGGCAGGCAGCGGCACCACTGAGCTAAACCCCTGGCCCTTATCATATATTCTTACCGTTTTGGGATGTCGGAAGAGTATTTTAAATATGAGGCCCAAGATAAAAGCCATAAAGATGAAAAATGACAAATTTAACCACAATCTATAAAAATGTAAATGCTCTACTAAAAAGTCTTAAGGCCAAACTTTTAAAAGACAGTTGAAAAACTTGGAAAAGGTGCTTGAAAACTGTGAGGTACAGTTAATAACCTTAATATTCAGCAAGCTTTTGCTGATTTGTAAGTAAAGAATTTTTACCAAAGGATGGGAAAGAACAAAGGAGACAGTGAGAAAGAATTAGAGATAAGAAATATGAATGATGCATAGCATCAGGAAAAACATTTTACTAGCATCAATAATTTTTTTGAAGTACAAATTGAAATAATGGGCATCATTTTTTAAAATCTTGTGAAAGAAAAGGTATTTTTACAAAGTTTAAAACCCAGTATTGACATGTTAAGAAATCTGCTATAAGACCATTTTTCTAAAAGACAACTGTGCAGTGTCTTGGCCTGTGTGTTAACTTGTTAAATATTACAGGATGAAGAAGTATTTTGAAAATATATTATTTGATCCAGAAGTCTCAGTTCAAGAATTTTATCTTTAGAAATGGTCTCAATTTGCAAAAGATTTAAGTATGTCCATTATAGCATATTTTCCTGCCTCTTTTTGTTATGCTGTACTGGGGAATTGAACTCTGTCTTATTTTTAATATGAGATATAATTAACAAAATATACAATTTTGAAAGGTATTTACTGTCACTCTTTTTAGATATAGAACATTTTCATTATACAGCATAGTTTGTAATAAAGAAAAAATAGGGATCAACTTAAACTGGTGTAGGGAATAGCTTAAATAAATGTTTATACAATCATATAATACTTTACATGCAGCCTTTAAAATATCAAAAGAATATTTAATGCTATAGAAATGTGCTATGATGTATTTGTTATGCGAGGAGTACAGTATTGCATTATTTCACTTTTCTTACATGTGTCTATAGAAAAATGTATGGGAAATATATAAGGTTATGTCTATGGGATTTTATTATATAATTTCTTAACTTTTCTAACATTTTAAAAAATTAATAAATATTAATTTATAGTTATTATTTTTCAAATATTCATTAAACACAAACACCATTTTTTCTTTTACATAAGATTGTTCCAAATTTGCCGAGTTATTAGGACGGCTATGAAATTAAAAATAATTCTACATGTCAAACTCAGGTAGATAATCTCATGCAATATAAAAATCACTAATAAACCTCTGGTCCAGACAGCAAGTTAATATGATTATTAAATTCACCTATTAAATGGTCTGGCAAATACACAATAGGGTGACTTCTCTTGTTTACTATTAATCACTGTGAATTACTAGAATAAAGCAGAGTTCCTCTACAGCGAAGATTACAGGATAGGATGAAAATTATAAAGGACAGGATCACTTAATACTATTTAAAAATTTTTAAAAACTTTATTGGTTACTTTGGGGAGTATGTGTGTACACTCATCACTTATGTGCTTTGGCCATAAAAAAAGGAAAAATTTAGAAATAAAGGAGCTATGTTATAATTCAACTTACACTTAAAAATAATGTGGGAATATCAATGAATGCTCCTCAGTAGTATTTACAAAGACTGGCCAACTATAGTGTAAGTGAGAAGGAATTCACTGATGCATTCAATAAAAAGATGTACTATGTCTTCTCTAAAATATTAAATTACTATGAAAATATTTTCTCAATTACTAATGGGTCTGGCAACTCCCTAGTATTACGCAAATATATTTTCCAGTGAACTCAATGCTTCTTTATTAAACCACACTTGTAATTCATAGTAATAAGCTTTCCTCTTATTTCCAGGACCTTATATGTCATACCCTGAGTCTAGTAAGATCCCATGGCTAAGAATTTGTCACTTCTCCCACCACTAATTGTTTGTTTGCTTGCTTGCTTCTTTATCAGCATGACACTGTTGGTTTTGCCCACATTGTGCTTCTGCACGTCTCTGCTTCCCACCCCATATTGGACTTTAAATGAGTTTAAATTAATGTGATCATCAAATGACTACACTATTAGGATTTACAGACAGCATACTTATTAGATTTCCTTTCTGTAGTTTGTGAAAGCATGTTCATTCCCATATTTTCACCCTCAGATACAGTTATTGTGAGTAAAGTGCTCTGAAACCACATTCAGGCTACAGTTTGAGATACTGTAGGACAGCCTTCAATACTCTGGAGAGGAGAAAGCTTTTTCAACTTGTCAGTGTTGTTATTAAGTACAGAAATATACAGAGAGACTTTAAAAACTTAATATGATTCTAGTTATTCTCTCATGAAACTTTTATTTTAATGCATAGAAAATATTTTCAATATACAAATTCATTTCTTTAAAAATAACAAAAAAAGTATCATGCAGTTACCACCTGCAGTGTAATGTGCTGGGAAATATCAAAATGAATAGACCACCATACCATTCCTCAAATGGCTGCTTAACCTGTTAGGAAAGTGTAAGCCTATTTATAATAATGTATGAAAAGTGCAGTTATTGAAATTTATCATGAGGTTACATAGAAACAATTTAGGCAGTTGGATTCGCAGTGACTTCTCAGATATTTGCTTCTGCTTCTTGTCAGATTGGCTGAGTCTTTAAGGAGGAGCAGGAGTTAGTCATAGCAAATGGCATGGAAGGGAAGATACTACAGGTTAGGAGACAGCATGAATAAGACATAATCTACAAGCAGTGCCACCTACACTAGCAACAAGTCCTTTGGAGAAAATGCTGGGGTGGCCCAGTGGTGGAGACCTGTGTTTGTGTCATTAGGTACTTAATCTTCATCCCCAAGGCTACACAGAACTCTCCCTAGGGGTTTTGGCGTATTTCTGTTGACAGAAGGATGAGTTTGTGGGAGGTAAGATGGGAACTCTTGACAGTTTGGGGGTGGTTTCTATAAGAAGATAAAGCTCTGAACTAGTCATTGGAAAAGGAGAGTATTAATTTAAATAATGGCTGCAAGAAAATTTTTCAGTTTGATTGAATTTGGAATTGGAAATTAGAAGAGTGAAAGATTAGTGCCAGATAAGAGAGAGCCTAGAGAGAGAAACAGTTTTAGGAATGTGAAAGGTTTACTTTGGGACACATGAGAACTTGTAAGAATATCTTAGTTAAGAAGCCCAATGAACAACAAATCCTCAGCAGCACGGGAACTAGCACAAAGAATCAACAACTGGGATCTCATCCTATTAAAAAGCTTCTGCACTGTAGGAGAAACCACCAACAGAGCTAAAAGACAGCCTACAATGTAGAAAAAAATTTTACAAGCTGCTCCTCAGACAAAGGACTACTATCTAGAATATATAAAGAACTAAAAAAAATCAGACCTCCCAAATATAAAGACCCGATTCAAAAATGGGCATCTGAAGTGAACAGGCATTTCTCAGACAAACAAGTAAAAGCAGCAAATAAATATATGAAAAAATGTTCAATATCACTGGTCATTCAAGAGATGTAGATGAAAACAACACTGAGATTCCACCTTAACCCAGAACAAATGGCTGCTTTCGAGAAATCAGCCAATAACAACTGCTGGTGTGGTTGTTGGGAGATAGGAACCCTTCTCCATTGTTGGTGGGAGTGCAGACTGGTACAACCACTATGGAAATCAATATGGAGATACTTTAAAGAACTAAGATTGGAAGTCCCATTTGATCCAGCTATCCCTTTGCTGGGTATCTTTCCAAAAGATTTAAAAGAATCATATCACAGTGATATTTATGTACCCATGTTTATAGCGGCACAGTTTGTAATAGCTAAAACTTGTAAACAGCCCAATTGCGCATCAATGGGAGACTGGATAAAGAAGATGTGGTTTTTCTATAAAATGGAGTACCACTCAGCCATAAATGGGAAACTAGAGTCATTTACAGCTAAATGGATGCACACTGAGGCCACACTCTTAAGTGAAATAAATAGGATACACATATGTAAATACTGAATAATTTCTCTGGTATGAAAAACAAAGTATAAATAAGGATCAAAATGTGTAATTGATAATGTGAAATAGGAAGAAGGTCTAAAGGGGTAGAGGAAGTGGCAGGGGTAGGAGAAAAGAAAGAAAGGAAAATAAAAAATATAAGAAAAGGAAAAAATGGAAACAAAGTCTTTGTAAATAGGGAAGGGTGAAGGGAGGTCAGGGGAAAGGGGAAAAAATAAGAACCAAGATACATTGTGTAAAGGTACAAGATACCAATGGTGAATGTAACTGTATTGTTTGCCTTAAATGTACCAATAAACTTAATGGGGAAAGCAGAAGAAAGTGGGGGGGAGCGGGAAGGGGGCCCAGCAGGTGGTGAAACCCTGGTCTGTGCAGAGCAAAGGGCTAGATTTGAGAGAAGAATTTGGTGACTCAGCAGCATTTTTGTGGCAATTGATACTATAAAATGAGAGAAATCACCAAGAAAAATGTGTGACGTATACAAAGAAAGGGGCTATGAAAGGAACACTTGAGTTTCCGAAATTTAAGGGCCTATACAGGGGGTTTATGAAGCACCCTGAGAGTAACACCACACAGTCCAGAGAGCAGAATGTTTGGCCTGGGGGGAGTGACTGTAGTGTCCTCTGTGGAGTGCTCAGGGAACATTGCCATGGGGAGAGGAGGTGGAAGATGAGCAGGTGTAGTGTTTGAACCTGGAAGACTGTTTACTCTTTCCAGCACATTAGAAAGCATCAAGCTGGAGAGGAAAATGGAGTCAGGACAGGCATTTTTAGGGTGGGAAGACCTATGCCTTGAATTTAGGAACTGAGGGGAAGAAATCAGGAGAGAGGGGAGGTGGGAGACTAAGGACAAGGTCCAGAGTGGGCCTGGCGGGAAAGCTTCATGGCAAGGATGAACTGGAAGAAAGGTGAGGAAGCATGTGGATGAATGTCTAACTTTTGAGACATAGAGCCATGTCACATCTATTTGTCCTCTGTTGATGAAGCTTACTCCATAAGACAAGGTCTTTTCCTGAGAGTGGGTAAAGGATTAAGAGTGATCATTAAGAAAAGTAAGATATACCCAAGAACAAATAGGCTTGATAAGTGTTACTGAGGGCTCATTTGACTCAAATGACTTGAATTCATGTTTGTTTTTCTCCAGTATCTTCAGTACCTAGAAATAGGAATAGAGGATTTGTTAACATTTTATTACACAGATTTTCAAATATGAAAAAAGTAGAAAAATTTTATAGTGAACACTCATGTTCCCATTACTTAAATGCCAAGCTTAACTTTTTACTTGCTTTATCACTGTCTTAGTCATTTGCTTGTTGCTGGGACAAAATACTCCAGTCTATAGCTTAAAGGAGAGAAGTTTATTTTGGCTCCTGGTTTTTAGAGGACTCAGTCCATAGTTGGCTGGCTCCGAGGGATAAGGGCGTGGTGGAAGGGACTGGCAGAGAAAAGCTGATCAGGTCATGGCAGCCAGGAAGCAGAAAGAGAAGGGAGGCTCTTCCAGGTCACACCCCAGTGACCCACCTCTAACCAGGCCACATTGCCTCATGGCGAGTCAGCTACAGACTCATCCGTGGACTAACTCATTCATGGGTATAAACCCTCATGATCCATTCAGGCTCCAAACACATGAGGCTTTTGGAGGATACCCCAGATCTAAACCATAACAATCAGGTATCTATCAAGACGATGATTTGAAATCAATGCTTAATTATGGGAATTTCAAATGTATGCAAGTAAAAGAAATAATATACTAATCGACCATTTTCAACAATATTATTTCTTTTTCTTTTTCTTTTGTACTGGTGATCGAAGTCAGGACCTTGCGCTTGTGAGGCAGGTGGCAGCACCACTGAGCTAAATCCCTGGCCCTCAACAATATTATTTCATAAAACGCCCTATTGCCTTTTATGGACAAGTGGAGATAAGTTTTGGGCAGTGTTAGAAGTGTAGGAATGCAATTTAATCATGGGCGTTAGAGCAGGAATTGTTTTGTGATCAAACATGGAATCTCAGGTTGGTGGAGCAAGAAGAGGCCAGGAAGGAACTGAGAGATTTCAGTTAAGCAGAAGGATCTGAGGTCTTAAAACTGTGGAGAAAGTTAAAAAAAAAAGCAATGGTGCAAAGAGTGGAGAAGGTGAGAAAAGGCTGCGATCAGAGCATAGTGTGCAAATTGCTGGAGGGGGCATGTGTGTGGGAGAACTAGGGTGTGGCTGAGGAGGTGGTGACAAAAATGGAGGGACAGCGAGAGTTATTGGACATGAAGAGAGCAAGGATGTAGACAGTGTGTCCAGGAGGCCAGGGCAGGGGCTTGGGAGCCAGGCTGCCTGGGCGCAAATTCTAGCTCTGCCACTTACCAGCTGGGTGACCTTGAAAAAGTTACTTATGGGCTCTGGGTCTTACTGTCCTCATCTGTAAACTGCGGATAATAATAGTGCCAAGCTCCCAAGGTGTTGAGAGGATTAAATGAGAGTTAAACATATAAAGTGTATTCAAACAATACCTGGCCCATCATAAACATTCAAAAAATGCTAGCTCAATAGATAGTGAAGGCAGCAAGGCTGGTGTCAGGATTTGTGGTAGCAAATGCTACAGTGATGAGGCTACATGCAGGGGAAGACAGGAGACCCCAGATGCTTGTTTCCTAGGCTCACAAAAGCCTGTCATTGGGGTATGATATGCTGTCTTCAAAAATAAAACGGATAGGAAATATCTTTGTTTTGGGTACCGGGTAAAAAAATTATTCATTCAATTAATTGGTTCTCTTTATAAAGCCTTGGATTCTTCTAGTAAAATGTTTTATGCTGTAAACATAACGAAGCTAGACACAGCTTCCTTTATTTGTAGTCTCCAAAGGTAGCCATTGTTGTACGTTAAAGATACAGAAGTTTCTGTATCTGTTTCAGAAGTACAGGGCCTATAAGCAGAGGCATTACACTCCAATTTTTAGACACTTCTTTCTAAAGTTTTTAAGGAAAGAAAAAACAAAATAAACTCTGCCTAAGAAGATTTTAAAAGTGCCCAAATATTTTTCTATAAATATATTTCCAAATTTAATTAAGCTAAACATGTCCTGCCAAATAAAACTTTTTTTTTCTTTCGCTCAAGCAGCATTCTGACTCCCTCAAACTGTTAGTGGCAGAGTTATTTGTTTAAACCAGAGCTTCTGGTTTGGGTTTGGGGTTTAAAAGAAGACATGTTTTACTTCTTCCCCTTATGAAGAAGAGAGCATTTATTGTGTAAATCCTGTTATCTTTTATGTAGATCATTGCACTTGGCCATCACACCAGCCCAGTGAGGTCTACAATAGTCTCACATTGTTAGGACAAAAAAAGTTGTTATGACAAACTAGGTGGTTAAGACTGTTGCCTGAGCAAGACCATCTAGTACAGGCGGTAGAACTCTTAATTTAAGCCTTGGTCCATTAGGCCTCAAGTCTGGTCTTTCCTACTTATGACTTGCCTTCCATAAAATTTACTGTGGCAATAGTTTGTATTCTTCTCAATGTACTACTACAATTACTACTCAGTTAAGTCACTGCTCATTTAAATGTAGGTTATTACAAGGGCCTGAAGGATCCTGAAAAATCTACCTGGCTCCTTGCCCTCCTTCATTCCTTTACTCAAGGTCAGCAAAGCCCTCTCAACCACGAAATTTCAAATTGTAACACTCTCTCCTTCTGCCCCTCACACTTTATCTCCTCCTCAGCTTCAGTTTTTTCCATGGTTCACACTACCTTGGGCAAGTGTGACAACAGAATTGAGGGCTGACTAGTGTCTCGGCTGACTTAGTGGGCTGTCCAGGCCAAACCACTCTTGAACCACAGGAGAGTCTAACCCGAGGCAGATGTTGGCAGGGCTGGGTTGGCAGGACTGCTGATGGGAAGTGGGCTACAAGGCAGTCTCAGCCAGGCACACTACATATTCTAGGTCTGAGGTGAAGGAGTTTTATCTCAGGTATTACCGGTTGGTAGGAATGGGTTTCTTTGTGCGTCCCTAGAATGGAAGATTCAGCCTTGACTCTTTGGTAAAGATCTTCAGTGCCTATGCCTGGGCAGGACAAGGGCCTGGAACTCACAGAATTCACAGAAACCATCTTCAAAAGCCACCAAGTGATAACATTCAGTTTAAATTCTGATAAATTTCTTCCATAAAAATGTATATAAATAGAAACTGTTCTTGATGAAGTCGTTGCACATAATGCTGATTTAACTGTCTTCCTCACAAAGCTGTTATTAGCTCCTTACGCAAAACTCTGTCTAGTTCACATCTGCTTACCCAGGACTTAAACCAGTCTCTGACTTGTCAAAGTCAAGAGCTAGATTCAAATTCTGCCTGTCACTTAACATAGTGCCAGATATGTAGAAGGTACTCACCACATGGCTTTTAGTAGTATTTAATAATTTTTTATGATTACTTTTGGAGAAAGAATCAAATCTTTTGAATGAATGAATCTTTTACATTAGGGACATCATTAGACTTCTTCAGGTTTTCATGGTCTTGATTCTAATATTAGGATGCTAACTCAGGGAGACACAAGTTTATTGGAAGTCTAAGAAATACATAAACTTTAAAATATACTTACCTGTGAAATTGGCACCTTTTCTTAAATCCATCTTTGAGTCCTTAGCCCTGGGCACAGTACTTAACATATAGTAAACCTTCATTAAATTTTGAATGGTGAGTGCCAAAGCAAACATTCTGGGCTACTTCTAGCACAGGTAAACCTTATGCATCATTTAGATTGTCCACTTGGAAAACCACTTATATCTTGGGCAAATTGGATACCTGTAGACCTTCAAATAAAATATATAAGTTTTCAAAGTTCTGAGCTACATGTGTAATTCATTGAAATATGATTTCAGGTGAAACATGGGTACTCCAAGAGAGTCTGGTGTGCACTCATAGGAAAGACGTTGTATTATTTTCGTAGTCAAGAAGATAAGGTATGTATGTATTTTAATATGCTAATTAGAGTATTTTGTTTTGCTTGTTAATAGCTTAAAGTTTTCCCTTTTACTCTTCTGTTGCTAAGTAAAACTTTAGAGTTTTTGATAAGGATGAACTTTGGTGTTAAATGTATGACTGAGGTAATCACATACCTATCACCTTCAAGGGTTTTGATTCTCAATTATAAGCCTTACCAACTTTTAACTAATTCAGCTTCTAGGATGAAGAGGAGAAAGCTTTCTTCCACCCCACCCCTGCCATTACCTTCTCATGTTTTCCCATGTTCTCACAGACGATATAAGGTTAGAAGAAACAGTGAGCTAGGAAAGAAGACCTGGGGAGGAAACAGAGTCTGCTCTTGTCCCAGGCCCTCAAATTCTTGGATATCATTTACCTGTTCATCCATCTGACTATTTATATCCTGTTTATTCATTTTTAAGCTAATCTCCTGCCCCAAATTGTAAATGGTTTAATAAAAATGGATAGCATTGATCACAGAAAAAACTACTGAGAATGTAGAAAAATGACAGAAATCCATTATAATTATTGGAAAAGTCTTGTGAATATATTTGAATCTGTATAGGCCCACTTCATTGTGTGCTATAGATGTTTCCAAAATAATTTTGAAATCTTGCTCAGTGCCTTTATATTAAGTCAAAATACAAGCACTAGTTCCATTGGCTATTTTTGGAACTTTGGTGTGTCCTTTGGTAAGATGAATAACCATACTGAATATTATGGTAGATGAGACACGGGTTTTCTTAGAATTGGTGGGCTTAGAGCATAAAATTAAGTTCATATTGTCTTGTATTATCATACTAGACTTAATTTTCATCACTTTTTTTTGGAACCTGGGATTGAACTCTGGACCTTGTACTTGTGAAGCAGGTGGCAGCACCACTGAGCTAAATCCTCAGCCCCACATCACAATTTTTAAAACCTGCCTTTTATTTATGAATGTGACTTTTTCTGCCTTATTATTTACCTTTGATTTACTACCTTTCTTTTCCCAAAGGTGTAAATTAATTTTTAATTTTAACTTTTCCCTTAAAAGAAAAAGCTTTATTAATGCCAAGCATAATACTTTGCACACTGTAACTACTCAGTACATAATTGTTATTAATTAAACATGGAAAATCATGTTTCTCCTGAAAGACAGTACATTTAAATTAATCAGCTACTAGGCAGATAATATTGCATTCTCTATAGGACGTCTAGGTAAGGCCTCACTAAGAGGCTGACATTTTCCTTAAGTTCTGCCGGAAGTAAAAGAGCAGCCAGGAGCACATTGTGAGCAAGAGCACTCCAGGCAGAGGGTGCAGCAAGTGCAAAGGCCCCAAGGCAGGAACAGGCCCGGTGTGTTTGGGGAATCTCAAGGAAAGTATGACTCGACTGGAACCTGTTAGGAAGAAAATAGTAGGAGACAGGGTCAGAGATATAACAGGGGCCAAATTATATGGGACCTTAGAGGTCAAATTAAAAAATCTGTTTTCTTAAAAGAGGTACAGTTTTACCTCTGCCTTCATAGTATTTTCAGTTGGCCTGAGAATTAAATTAACATAAGACAAATTATAGGAGAAAAGTGTACAAATTAATTTAATGTAAGTCTCACTTGACACAGAAGGCTTCATATGGAAATGAAGAACCAAAGACATAGAGCTGAATCCTTATATATTGAACTGGACAAAGAGCACTTAAGTTGAAAAAAGTATGACACAGCAAAGGGAGTTGGGCTAGGATCACCAGTTGGGTGGAGAAGTGACCAGCAAGGTGAGGCCTAGTTTAACAAGCTTTGCTACTACAAGTTTTCCTTGGCCTCAACTTCCTGTCATTGCCAGTAAGAATGTTATTTTCCTTTTGTTATCCGAAATATTTCTTCTGTATGTGAGTCTGATCTCTTGCCTTTGGGAAGAAAAAAAGGGTCTGGGTACCCTTCTTGCATCTGTTGTCTTAAAAGATGTTTTTTAGTTCAAAATAATCCTGATGTCAGGAAGGTTCTGCACATTCTGCTACCCTTGAGCTTTTGCTCTGAGTGACATGGGAAGCACTGGAGCCTTTTTAGCAGAGCAGGACATGGTTCTGCCATGTGCAATGGGAACACTTGGCTTCTATTTAGAAATAGACTGAAGGGAAGGAGTATGAGCCTCCCATAGTCAGGAGGCTCTTACAGTAACCCAGGCAAGAGATGGCTGGGGTTGGTGGTGGCAGTGGAGATCTGAGATGTGATCAGAGTCTGGACATACACGACAGTCTTGCTGATAGGATTTACTGAGGATTTAAAGGTCTAAGGGAGGAAAGACAAGAGTCAGCAAGGATGCCAAAGTGTTTGACCTAAACAGCTAGAAAAATAAAGTCATCAACAATTGACCTGGGGAAGACCGAGTGGAGCAGGGTGTTGAGATAACTTTACAAGGCGAGTTTGAGATGCTAAACATCTAACAGAGATCTTGAGTCTGGAATGATGCATTTGGGAAGAGCTATCACGTGCTATGATTAAAGCAGGAGCTTGGCTGAGATCACCAGGGAACGAGTGTAGATGGAAAGAGAGGCCAAGCACTGAGCCCTGGAACTCAGCCTGGAAATGCACGATAGTAAATGTCCTCATGGTTAGAATGGACTTCTTCAGAACTGCAATTGCAAACCTGGCCAAATGTTTTAGAACTTATAAATCTGAAGCACACTGAATATTTTTCTGGAATAAATGTACTTAAAGTAAGTTTTAAAACAGATAAAGTAAGTATCCATCATGGCAGATATATTTGCTTTGGTAACTAAAAGGGTAGATAAAATTTAATGTAAATCACCCTAGGATGGTTTTATTGCCCTTAAATTAAGATGCAGGCAATTATTACATTGTTTTGAGACATATTATATACTAATAGCCTTCAAATACTCCTCATTTCCTGGGATCTGGGGTCAAAGTTAATCTTTGTACTGGTTGTCTACTTTTGTTATTTTTTTCTATGAACAGTTTTAAGACTATGTCCAACCTTAAATCACTGATCAACTCTGTAGGTGAATCAAATCAGCTTTTTGGTAATGAGTCATTTTAGTCTAACTGAATAATCTGAATCACTGCTCTTTTGTATCACAGTTGGGCTTATTGCTTGTTACTACTCCTACTACTACATCTGTAGCTATAAGATAATCATATGATTATCTCAGCATTTGATTTTTAAAAAGGTATGCTCTCTTGGAGGCTGAGATGGGAAAAATGCAAGTTCAAGCCAAGGCTGGGCAACTTAGTGGCTTATTGAGACCCTGTCTCAAAATAAAAGATAAAAAAATGAAGGGCTGGAGATGAACCTTAGTGTGAAGGCCCTGGGTCTGATCCCAGTAACACACACACACACACACACACACACACAAACACAGTATGTCTTTTAAAGGTGAAAATGTGAAGAACCACAAAAACTCTTAATGGGAAAGATTTAGACAAGTGGCTTCCTTACAATTGCTTACATTTTCTTTAGTTTCCCTTAGGTCAGATCAAACTGTGGGAAGCTAAAGTTGAAGAGGTGGACAGGTCCTGTGATTCAGATGAAGATTATGAAGCCAGTGGACGCAGTCTGTTATCCACTCATTACACTATCGTTGTTCACCCCAAAGACCAAGGTCCGACTTACCTGCTAATTGGATCCAAGCATGAAAAGGTATTCAAAGACATGCTGGTTGATTTAAAATGATTCAGACTAATACTCAGCTATTGGTAGATAATATTTAAATTAGTTTTGTGGAAATGAGAAGATAATTTTGCTAAAGACTCTCAGAAATATTTTCAGAGATTCTTTACCTCTTTAGAAATGAGTCTTATTTGAATGTGTCATTTTCAGTCTTATTGATAAAATGTTATCTCAAGGCTTGAATTAGTGCATGACAGTAGAGGACAAGGGAACTTTATGTGTAAAAATGTGGATATCACCCACTGGATATTTTTTGGTAAATCTAAGGCCTCTACTTTATATTTTTGACTAATTATTAATAAAATTTCATTTTTTATATAATTGAGAATTAGTTTATGTATTATATGTATGAAATGAATAGTCATATAGAGAGAGAGGAGGCATCACAAATTGTGGAAGTATTAGATAATGTGTTTATTACATATAGAATTATGTGGTTATTATGTATTGACAAAAATTGGCTGTTAAGGTAAAACATTACTTTCATCTCTCACATATAGAAAAATAATTTCCAGATGAATTTAAAAGAGTTCAATAAAATTATTTTTTTAAAAAGCCTTTATCTAGCACCTTGTGAGGCTGAGGCAGGAAGATCACATGTTCAAGGTCATCCTGGGATGCATAGTAAGTTTAAGGCCAGCCTGTATTATGGAGTGAGACCCTGTATCAAAAAAGACATTATCTGATCTCTGAATAGAAAGCACTTACTAAGAAAAAAGATCTCTTCTTGCAAGAGACCACGTTGTTTTCTAAACCCCTATCTCTGATGCCAGAGCCTGTGTCTCTGATGTTTACCTCTGTTGCCTCCTATTTGATGTGAAGGACTTTATTTTCAGCAGAAAACTGAGAAGAGGACTCAGCAAACAACTTACTGTGGAGGCTCATGGATATTTAATGTTTAGACTCATTTATAGTCAAATGCAAACTTTTAAAAATTATAAAGCTTTTCTTTCTGAAATTATCATGGGTTTTAAAAAATTATGTTAATATAACTGTAGTGAGAGAAATACTCCCACACAACATTGAAGGGAGTGTGAATTTGTGTACACACTCTGGGAAGCAATTTGAAAGCATGTTTCAAGATTTCTGACAAATATTCCTGCCCTAGTCATGACCTGTCATTGTCTTTGAAGAATATATACTAAAGAAATGTTTGTAAGCTGGGGATTTAGCTCATTCATTCCATGACCTGCCTCACAAGTGCAAGGTCCTGAGTTCAATCCCCGATATCCCCCCAAAAAAGTCCTTAAATAAAGTCCTTCAAGATTTTTTTTTAAAAGTTTGTAAATTCAACCAAAGATCTATATATAAATTTATTGGCTATGATATTCTTTTTAAAATTATTTCATCTCTGAAATATTTAGAACACAGAAAATGTAGCCTATATACTTTTAAAGCTGTTGAACTCTTTTTCTTGGTACTGGGGATTGAACTTGGGTCCTTGCGCTTGAGAGGCAGGCGCTGGAACCACTGAGCTACATCCCCAGCCCTAACCTATATACTTTTAAGAGATGTTAGACATCACAGTATTTTTATCAATGAGAAATTAATAGCTATCTAAATGTTTAACAATAGAAAATTTATTAAATAAATACAGTATGGCTAATAATAGAATATCCTGTAGCCATTAAAACTTGTTTGTATAGCCGGGGATTTAGCTCATTGGTTCGGTGGCCTGCCTTGCAAGCGTAAGGACCTGAGTTGAATCCCCAGTACCAAAACAAAGCAAAATAAAACTTGTTTATATAATTCCATCACTCACAAGGCTGATGCAGCAGGATGGTGAGTTCCAGGGCAGCCTGAGCTACAGAATGACTTCAAGGCCAGCATGGACCACATAGCAAGACCCTGTCTAAACAACAAAGCAAAATTTGTGTATAACAGATTTCCAGCAACAAGGGCATTCTTGTACTTTATTAGTAAAATTCAGAAGTTATAATAATATATTTTAGCATAATTATATAAGATTTAATCTATATATTTTTTTCACAAAAGAAATAATAGGCAAGTGGTTATCTTTGGAGAGTGGGACAAATTAGATATTACTTTCTTCTTTAAATTTTCAGGATTTCCCAAGTATTTCAAGAGTAAGTAATGTATTGTTGTGGGAGTAAGATTTAAATTGGGTAAAGTTTTTTGTTCTGCTAAAAAGAGTATCAGCTTGTATTTATTCCAGCCTCTTAACATGTATTACTCTTCTTAATTTTGTCATGCTTTTCTAAGAAACATGTATAAAAGATAATAAAAATGTGAACAATAGGAAAAGGTAAAAGGAACACTGTTCACATGAGCCTACCTCAGAGATTTCACTAAATGGCTTCTAGTTGTCATTTAAAAATTAAAGAAAATGGTTTCTTTTCGGTCTCAAAGTTCCTTACTGTGTGTGCAAATTATTTTCCTTCAGTAATCAAAACTGTATGTTGGTTAACATTTCTAATACTATGCTCTGATTTTTAAGGACACTTGGCTTTATCACCTGACTGTTGCAGCCGGAAGTAACAACATAAATGTTGGATCAGAATTTGAACAACTCGTGTGTAAATTACTAAATATAGAAGGGGAAACGTGTAAGTATATGAAGCATATACACCTCATGGTTTATGTAGTGAACTCCAAACCCCTTAGCCTATTGGAGTTTTCACTTTGTGGACTATCCTGTTTCCCTGTCATTTACCCCACTTTTCGCTGTAATGGGCCAGAATTATCACTGGGGTTCTTAGGCTCCAGGGATGCCATCAGTCTCCAAGGCACTGTGTCGTGCCACACTCATTTGCCCTGCTACTATTGCTCTCTCTGCTTGGAGTGCCCCTTTCCTCACAGTCCTTACCAACCTGATGGAATCCTGCCTAGCATTAGGAGACCCCTTCCACTCCACCTCATCATCTGACTCACAAAAGCTGCTTAATCATTGTTAAAATCATGTCATTTAACTTTGCCACTTAACTCTTTTAAAGAATTTGTAGTTTTGTATTGAAATTAGCTTTTATGGCCAGGGGTTCCAACTTTGAGTCTAGATTCTATCCTGTGCTTGAATAGAAACCACATTTTATGTACAGTGACCAGAATAGAAATTTAATTAATATTGATTTTAGGAATTACTTCTAGTTCTGCTTTATCTTTTTATCTTCTCCTACTTAGGCTCTTTCTGTATCCCTCCCCCCATTCCTTCTCATGCCCTTCCTTATGTCACCACCTGTTGACCCAATTAAGCAATGTGAAAGTGCCCTTATAGACACGTTGCAGGCCAGCAAATTAGAACCCTAACTCTTCTTCATTTACTTTATCCAAAACAGAAACATAAGCTTCACAATGGCCTGGCAACTGAAATAAAATAACAAAATAACAGTATCAAAGGTTTCCCTGATCTTTGTGATGAAAGTTGTGAGCCTGACTCCTAGACTGTTAATCTCATGGGAAGCTGAAATAATGAATCATTCTGTTTTCTGTTCCTGTGTTCTTCTAGCCTCCCAGATATGGAGACACCCCACTTTGTGTCACAGCAAAGAAGGAATCCTTTCCCCTCTGACAACACTGCCTTCTGAAGCTCTGCAGACAGAGGCTATAAAGTTATTTAAGGTAAAGAAAATTATAGTTGGTAAATAATTGAATCGAATTAAAAAATCATAACCTTGGTTATAAACTTTTAGTTTCTCTAACAAAACTGAAAAGGTAATTTTTATTAAGAAAAATCTATTGAAATAAAATTAGGTGAATTTAATATGCTTCCTGCGTAATGATTTGGGGTTTACTGAAATAGACTGTGTGTGATTTAGGCAATAGAAATATTTGATATCAAAAAGATGTTTTCCAGTCACTTCTCAGATGTAAAGATTTTTCATATCATGTCAGCCTCAGTACTGGGAAAGGAGTCAGCAGTTTCCTCTCCAACTCTACCCTTAGATTCTTCTTTCTCAGTCTCTATATCACTTCATTTTCTCTCTCTTTTTTTTTTTGGTACCAGGGATCAAACTCGGCACCTTGCACTTGAGAGGCAGGCAAAGGAACCACTGAGCTAAATCCCTGGCTCAATTTTTATTTTTTATTAGTACATATTTTCAGTACATGTTTATATTCCTTGTGCTGAGTTGGTACATGTATATAACACATCTTAATTCTCTTTTCATTCCCTTTTCCTTCCCTTCCTTCCCCCTTCCTTGCTCCATCTCTTGATCCCCTTCCCTTTTCAAAAGATCTACCTCCTTATTTTCTATTATCTACTTTATTTTGTTCTTTATTTCTATTTTGGGATTCTCATATAAGAGAAATCATAGGATATTTAAGCTTGTGTGTCTGACTTCAATTAACACTATGGTCATAAGGTGTTTTCCTACAAATTTTCCTACAAATAACTCAAGTTTATCCTTCCTATGGCAGAGTAGTATTCCATTGTGTATAAATACCACACTTCTTTATCCATTCATCTGTTGATGAACCTATAAGCTCTTCCAAGATTTAGCTATTATAAGTCGTGCTACTGTAAACATAAGTATACATGTGTCACTGTAATATGTCTTTAGCTCTCTTAGGAAAATACCTAGCAGAGGAATAGCTGGGTTGAATGGAATTTCTATTTTTTAGTTCTTTGAAGAATCTCTGTATTGATTTCCATAGTGCTGGTACCAGTGGTCTCTGATACTTTCCCACCGACAGTGTAGAAGGGTTTCTTTTTCCTTGCAGCCTCTTTAGCATTTGTTATTATTGGATTTCTTGATGATTATTTTCTTTCCGAAGTAAGCTGGAACCTCAGGGTTTGCATTTCCCTAATGACCAATGATATTGACCATTTTTTATGTATTTACTGGCAATCTGTACTTCTTCAGTGAAGTGTTTGTTTCAGTTGCCCATTTTTTATTGGATCTTTTATGTGGCTGGGTCTAATGTTTTTTAGTTCTTTATGTATTTTAGATATTAGTTCTCTGTTCAAGGAATAGCTGGCAAAAAAATTCTCATCCTGTATCTCTTCATTCTGTTGATGGTTTCCTTGGCTGTGCAGAAACTTTTTAATTTGATATATATCCCATTTGTTTATTCTTGGAACTATTTCTTGTGCAATTGGGGTTCTATTCAGAAAGTCCTTGCCTACGCCTATGTCTTCAAGAGTTTTACCTATTTTATTTCCCAGAAGATTAAATGTTTCTGTTTTAACACTTAGTTCTTTGATCCATTTTGTTTTAAATTTAGTACATGGTGAGTGATATGGGTCTAGATTCAGTGTTCTGCATGTAGAAAGTCAATTTTCTCAGCACCTTTTGTTAAAGAGGCTATGTTTCCTCTATCATCAGACACACAAGTTTAAATATCACATAGTTTCTTTTATATGAGAAATTCCAACTATAAATAAAGAGAAAAAGAAAAGATAAATAATAGAAAATAGGGATATAGAACTTCCTCAAACGTGAAGGCTGTCAGGAGATGGAGGGAGTGGGGAAAGGAGGGAGAAGGGAAGAAAAAAGAATAAAGATGTGTTATGTACACATACCAACACAACACAAGGAAGGTAAACATTATGTGCTACAAACATGTACAGTACTAATACAAAATAACATTTTTTTCTTCTGAAAATTGATAAACATACAGAAAAGTATACATAAAGCACTCAAGACTAGAGAGAGAATTACCAGAAAGGAATAGGCAGAAGGCTTCCTGGAGCTCATTCAGAGCTGGAAATTGTTTCTGTATCATCTAGAAGGGAGAGATCACCTAGCACATTGGGTATCTGTTACAATAGTCAAAATTATTGGCTGAGTACTGGGCCCAAAGTAGTCCTAGACCAATGGTGACAAGCCTATGGCACACGTGCTGCAGTGGGCTGTTTGTATCATTGAAGCTCCAAAAAGTTTGCAATCACTAACCTAGACTGATGGAAACCTAAAAGAAACCTTAAAAAAAAAAAAAAAAAAAAAAAAAA